GAATCTATTAGGTTGCGAGACTGCGCGTTTAGGGCATATTCGCTTAAATCTACATTTCAACCGAAGATATGAAGATCAGGATGGTATAGCCTTCGATATGGTCGCAGTCTCCCTTCGGTGTATAGACGTGGTTTGACCTCGTTTTCGCAATGAGCTCATGTTGTCATGGCGACTTAGTTGAGCACACCCTATTTCTTTCACGAGTTGTAGCTTGATGCTAATGCTGCCAACTACGATGCTGGCGAAACGTCTGAGCATGTACCAAGCCCACGGTGTGACTCTGGGAATTATGATACAATCCTCCTCTCTCCAACCTTTGCCATGAAATGAAGGGGAGACTTTAAAACCCAATTGGCAAACAAATAAAAGCAAAGTAGTTTAGTTAGTAGCCGTTTTAATTATCTATCCGGCTTCGGTTTTTGAACTATCAGTAAAGCTTATTTAAGAGTTCTAGTCACCCTAGAAATAAGGTAATGAAGGACTGATAGTTGAATCTTCTCATAAGCATATGAATAGGTCTCGCGTTTTCCATTGAATTTCCCTTGTCTTTGCTTCCTAAAAGATATTTTCATCCAGGCTGGACTGGGCCGCAGCTTTACTTTGCATCGAGACTATCAGTAAAGCTTGAATAACAAAACTACTTTTGATGAGCATAAGTAGCGTGCTTGAATGCCATGTAAAATGACAAGATTGTCGCATTGTCAATGTAATTTGGGAGAGGTCTGTCCTATGACCCAGGGACACCCGTGGCAGTGGAGTCTAGTGGCAATATCTTGAGAGTATAGTTTGCATTGCTCGGCTTAGCTTTCAACCGTGGTGTTGATTAGATCCAGGCGAAGTAGAAACGGATGAACGGCCTGTATGAGAGTTCCTTTTTGGAAAGTAGGATTTAGTGAAATCCATGAAAGCTTGAGTCTTATTCAAATGACCGTGGGAAATACAACTATAACTCCTAAATCACTTTATTTAACATAGAGGGACTTCAACTCTCATTATTATTTGAGCTTGAGTGCGGTAGTGGTGAATCAGAATTAATTGGCTTCTATACCCGCCTGATAGCAACTATACCCACGTAAAAATACAGCCCTGAATTGAACTTCTCTTCGTCATGCTTACTTAAAAGCAACTTTAGTTCGGGTTATATTACGCCTCCTTGCTCACGACTGTCTCTTCAGCATCTAAGGTAGTACTCGGTGAAGAGGCGAACACATTCGAACCTGGGTCTAGTTGATTCTGGGCTCGAATTTCACTGGGCTGCTGGGTCAAATCGGCAATCCAGTCTGAATAAAAATAGCATTTGGCCTTAAGACAAAATATTAATTGAATGCAAAAATAAGTCGAAACTAGTCCGCCATTCTCATCATTCTGAATTTAATCCTGCAAGTAGGAGAGATGGCGTTGTTGTAAATTAGGTACTTATACGAAAATCAAATGATCTTAGCGAGAATGGGGAAGATCAAGTCGCCATAATTTCCTGTAGTTTAGCCGTTTTATTTCTCCAAATTTCCGTCAATTGTTTTCTACATGCTGATGGCTTCCTAATATCTGCATTTGCGGGCCAGGTCTGTGTGGCCATAATAGGCTTCTTTTCCTCTCCAGGGTTCGTTGGATTAATTTAGTTGGGCAATTGACAAATCGAGTAAAGCTTGCACAAAAAAGTCACCTTTGTGCGCTCGGGAGTCGGAGACAAATGGTGCCATCTGCTCTGGAGCAGACATCCTCAGATTCAAGTATGACTTGATTTGGGGTATTCAACTCCTCTACTCTGCTCTGGGGTTCACCCTCCCCAGCGCATTTCCCACTATTGGGCCTGTCAAAACGGCCGCAGGAAAGACGCAATTCCCTTTCAGCCTTTTGATGCTTGCGACCATTCCTATGGTCTGGCGGCACTGACTTTTTGACTTGTGAAGGCAAAGTTAAGTGAGAAAATTAGCAAACAATCGCCGAAAACAAAGTTTACAATTGCAGCCCTGTTAGATGACCCTGTACTCTGAGTTGCTCTGTTGTTGGCCGGAATTTTCGGGGCTTTTTTTCTTTCACCTCATCTCTGACACGCGCACATGCTCGCTCTGATCCAGCCTGGTCGGCTCTTCGCATTTGTCTGTCAGTCTGTCCCTCTTTATGTATGTATCTGTGTATGTACCTATGTAT